ACTACTCTCTCTCTCTCTCTCTCTCTCTCTCTCTCTCTCTCTCTCTCTCACACACACACACACACACACACACGCACATACACAAACACTCAAACACGCACACTCTTCAAATTGAGTGGTGTGTGGTTTTGTTTCATGTTCGTTACTTACATGGCTCAGTGGACTGACCACTCTTCAAATTGAGTGGTTGGTTTTTGCGATCACATTCACCTTTGAGGATGATTGCGATTACAATTGCATTTTGATCAAATGTAAAATAATAAGGGAGGTTCTCTCAACAATCCTACAATGTGAAAACATGTAAATCTCCTACTTTAATTTTGATATCTCTCTTGATGGCAGCCCACTTCAAGAACTGATCGTTTGGCTGCTCAAACTTGAGGAGAGAGCTTTGGAAAGAAGCCATGACTTTCAATTTTGTTAGTGAAGGGAACAGGAAGGCCTGAGCCTGAGGAATTTTTTTATTTTTTCTCCCCCTTTTTTTTTTCTCAAAGTTTCTTTATTAAATGCTTGAGATAATGGAGTGTAGATCGCCTCTTCTTTGATGATTTTGTAAATTACATCTGTGCGAAAGTGGGTGTGTATAAAGGGAAATGCATGGCTTTTCTCTCTCGTGTAATTCAGTGTTGGGATTATATAGTGAATTTATCTTTTTTCAAGAAACAATCTATTATGTGCCGACACTAATCTTTTGGGCATGGCCTTGGATTTCCTCTAAGCCTCGAGCCTGTCTCTCTCTAAGCCACGGAACTATCATTATCGTCATAGCTTTTTTTCAACTAAATAAGATTGGCTACATAAATCTTTGGTTCGTCATTCTGCTTTACTAACACACACGGAACCATTTACTATAATCTTGGTCAATTGGCTAGCCCTACTGGTAGATACTCCCTTTAAAAAAGAAAATGTTAAACTAGTGACTCTTCAATTGACTCTCAAAGATGTAGAGGTATATATTTAGAATCATTTGTTATGTAAATTTATTAGCTATTGTGATAGATCTATTTTAAGCAAATGTATCTTCCACCATATTTGCGTCTTAGTAATAGTGTTAAGCTGGATTCCTTACTTCATGATATCCTTAATTTCATTGTATACGGTTTTGGTCTCCATGGTGTTGCAGCTTCACTTTTGGCTCAATTGGCTGCATTGGCTGAATGACCCGCTGCTACTTTTGGACCGACAGAAAGCTACGTAGCAATCTTAGGCCTTGTAAGCGAGCTCAGCCTGTAACATTACCACAAGGCCCCAAAAAACTAAAGTAGCACTATACCTAAATTCTTTGATTATTAGCATTGATGGTGTTGCCTCCATCAAAGTTGGGCTTTGTTTGAGGAGCATATATTTGGTTGCAATTAGCATTGCTGGTGTCTTGGAAGCTAACGAAATGGAATGTGCCAAATTTTTAGCCATCAAACCAGAGACCAAAGCAGGGCTTGACAAAATAGAAAGTACCATGGTGCGTCGTTCTTCCTTGAAATGGAACTCTCAATGCTGAAGCATTCAAGTCAATCCCATTATTAAGAATTACCTTGGAAGCTACCTATATTTCATGACCCGTTCGCAGCTAGGGCTGTTAATGTACTAGGCCCAACCAGACCTGAAGCTAGCCTGAAATCGTGCAAAGCTACACCCACCTCAGATCTTCATCATTCTAATAACAAGACTCAACATTTGTTCTGCAGTGTAGGTGCACATTTGTCAAGATAAGCCTTTCTTAAGTGGTATATGAAAGGAAGTTTGCAACATTCCCCCACTAAAGGTAGACTCTCTCTCTCTCTCTCTCTCTCTCTCTCCGTGAGTGATGTTGGTAAATTTGCGAAGGAACATTTCTAGTATCTTAAGAATTCCATCTCTCGCGATGAGCGCACTTATTTTTAAAAATATATTATATTTTAATAAATTTGTTTATATTTTATATATATATATATGAAAGGCAACGTCTAAAGGCAGAAATAAACAATGTTTTCACACAAACTCGGTACTGTGATTTTTTTGGTCACTCTGGATTTAAAAGATTGCAATAGACCTATTATGTTCGTTGCTGTACTGCAGCAGACCTACTATGTTCATTGCGGTACCGCAACGGACATAACATGTCCATGACGGTATTGCAACAGACATAGCATGTCTGTGGCGGTATTTTTTCACGCAAAAAAAATACAAAAAACTATCACGGCCCATATAAATCTGACAGTTTTTAAAACAAAACCGCAACCGACGGCATGCCCGTGACGGGATGAAACACTAATCAATTTCGCCTATATATATATATATATATATATATGAAAGATGCTACTATGAGCTTACGGACTCATATCAAACAATGCACCCAATTGCTCAGATTGAATCTGAAGTTTAAATTTAAATTTTTTTCAATAAATCCAAATAACTTCAGATTTTAAGCGTATTTCAAGAGTCAAAAAATATGTTGGATTTCAAAAGAGAGAATGTGATTGGAGGCAAAATTGATATTAGACTTCTAAAGAGAGAACATAAGATGACACCATAATTGGGTTGGGTTTCTAAAGAGAATGTGATAGTGGAAACATGTTCAGTGTTTAGAGAGAGAACGTGAAGAGCAAATGAATAGAGTTTTTACAGAGAGAATATGAGAGAGAGGAGCATAATAATTAGGATTTTAGGAACGAAGTATGGGTAAAAATTGTGCAATATGAAAAAAAATGTTATTATGAATTTATTTTTGAAAGGGGCAAAATAGTCCATTTGCCCCTCTAGTAAAAAGGAGAGTCAAAGTCAAAAATAAGTTTTCAACAAGTCTAATGTCTTAAAAAATAGAATATAGTAAGGTTTTTTTCATAAAAAATCCATTTTATAACCAGACTACCGATATGTTTCATTATTTGCCAAAAGGGACAAGTTCTCCACCTGCTCCAATTAGTGTGGGATGTATGATTACCCAAAGGTTCTTAGTCTCACGCTCCGATATTAAACATGTACATGAAACTTAATCTTGATAGTAGGCTTTCGAATGTTGGATGTACTAATTTTAATTTTTCATGTCTTTACACATGCAATGCGTTCATAGCTGAGAAACTTAAAAGATTTTTAGGACAAAGTGGAGTAATAGCAGAAGAAAAACATAGGGCTGGCTACATGCTCCTCTTCTCCAAATCGGAGCCAACAAATCAATGGAGATCAAGTCAAATATGAGATCGTATTGTCAGGCACCCATGTATGCACGTGAAACATTCTTTTATGCAATGCATCTGGAATGAAATTAAGGTTACATGTAAACTTAAATGTCATTTGTCTTCCCAGAAGAACATCAGGGAAGCTTGATAGAACTTTCAGAAGTTGCATCCCAAAAAGGACAGGACATTTGCTTTTTTCTTTCTTATCCAAGATCAGTTTCTACCCATCATTTCAGTTTTGAAATGAGTTCCCAGGATGATTTTTCCAGCATAAAACTCAACCAGTTACCAAGCATCCCACTATTACAAAACTGCAAAGGTACATTATGATGATTCACAGATAAATACAAAATGCAGAAAGCATACAGCCTTTAAATCATCATCAAAAAAATCTGACCATCACATAAAGAACCAGGAAAACCGAATAAGCTCAATATACAATGTTAACAGGGGAATCATGCACACATGAGAGATGAGAGAGAGAGATAAGTGGGGGGGGGGGGTGGGCTCAATTACACAGAAAACGCCAAATAAGATGATGTACCTTCACACTGGGATGCAAAATGATGAGCTGAGGGTTGGAGGCAACACACAAATCAGGTGTGGACCTGCAGGATTGCAGCTTATGTTGGTGACATCCACGTCAGGCAGCCCAAGTTGAGGGGGACGCACATAACCAGCCACCAAGGGCACACATATGACTGAAATAACTATCCGGGAACCTACAATGGATTGAAACAGAGTGACTTCAAGATGTAAACATTATATTTTAAGAATTTTCACAGAGAATGCATTTTTTACAACTACACCCAATTGTGTAGTAGTAGTTAGTAGTAGTAGTAAAATACAGAAAAATATATATTTTTCAGAAGTTACAAGCAAGGATGATTGTCCATCCATATATCATGCATTCATCAGCTTGCATAAGGTTAGAAGTGCATGAAAATTATGGATAAGCATAGAAAACATTTCCAAACATTTCATCCAAAATTCTATTATGCCCTTGGTGGAAATCAAACACCACTATTTTGACATCCCCGATTTATTCTTCAAATTTGAATCTGAAGTTCAACCAGAGCTACTGAATTTTGGTCAATTTCCTTAAGATACTAAAAGTGTTCCTTTTTAATACAAACATCAAGGGAACCAAGCCAAATTTTTGGGTTTGAAACATGGTTAAAATCAATTCCAAAACTAGAAGTTTCTCAACCTTTTTCACCAAAGCAGTAATTAATGGGTAATCATTGAGCTTAGAATAAGTAGGAAATTTATAAGAACTCCATGCCATGCAAATTTTATAAATCAAGTTAAATAATATTCATCTCATGTGAATGAGCAACTAACATTTCTATGCCTAATCACATCCAAACGGTTGAGGAGATATTTTTTATGGGCCCACTTAGAGAGCACATGGAGCATTTAGATTACCAATTAACCAACGGTTCTTCATCTATGACTTATTAATTAGGTATTAGGCAATTCATTGAAGGACCAATTATTGTGACTTTAAACTATGCATGTAGTTTAAATGAAGATGAATGCAGAGATAGCATTATTTCAAATTTCGAAGAACACATAATCAAATACACTATCCAAGAGGCAAGAACCTTGTTCCAAAGACAGTGAAACATGCCCACGTTTCCTTCCCGCGATCATCCAATTCTCTGGATTTGCATCAACTTCATACAACACTTCACCCTGCCACATAAAGATCAACAGAAGACAACAGTGAGCATGTGAGCTTATCATCCTATGAAAACACACTAAACATACTATGACAACCAAAAGATCTCTGATCAAAACTTCATAGTGAAAGTACCAAGTCGTTCATAGAAGTCGACATATATTTGGGACTTCTCCAATCAATAGGGACAATCTACATTTCACCGACCATTAAACATTGGAGATAGAGGAAGCCTAAGGCCGCGGGGTGTCCTTTACATTTACTCCCATCAGGCCCTTAAAATTGACAGGGTATTTCTGTCTTTTCACCAGAATAACTCTGATTTTCTCAAACTGATGAAAGAAAATAGGAACAGTAACACCTCCAAAGATTTTAAGTTATACAATTATACCCGTTTTTTTGTTGTAAAATTTAAATTTATGGAAGAAGCAAAGGGATTACACAATCTTGTAGAGAGTAAACAACCTTTTTTTACTGATAGATCAATGGTTTTCAATAATTAAAACTAAATACATCTGACTCTTTGCATTAGTGACATTTCTTAATTTTGAAAAGAAAAAAAGGCAATTTCGTTAAAAGTTGTAATAGTGAATTACACCAAGGACATTGTATTGTGACAAACCTCCAAGCCAAAATAAATTCTTCCATGTACTTACATCATGGATTGAAGGTGCTTCTCCTTCGATGTCCTTCAGTCTCTCAACTCTCCATCGCATACTGACCAGTTTGCCCACTCTCAGACCATCTGATGGCAAGGGAAGGAAACCCACAGCTAAAGAAGGTTCAAGCACTGGCCTTTGCAAGACAATTGCACTCTTAAATAGCAATTCCCTAGATCCAGTACTTGCATCTTGTCCATCATGAACCATAGGGGAATGAGCTCCAAGAGCTCGATCTCCAGATATTCTGTATCGAATGTTCAAGATACTGTGTGATTTTAATAGCTCAGACTCATCTGCAACAACATAACAATCACTGAATCCTGATAGAAAAACTATAGAGATGGATGGTATCTAAAGCAACTCGCAAACAAAAAAAAGAGCAACATAACTGTTCATATGCCTAATGTTGGTTCTGCATTGGTTGGAGTATTGGAAAATGTAAAAGAAGGTTGTAAGTATCTATCTCATGTGTTTTTTATACTCTCAGAATCCACTTTTTGAAATTCCACATGCTCTCCATGCGGTAACAAATGCTAGACACTCATGGATAGGTATTTAGTTGTTAGCAATAAAGCAACAGGTTTTGGTCACACGATTTGGAGTTTCAAATCACAGACCAATAATATCCTTAATAGTATCTTCTCATTGTGTCAATAAGTCTTCTATTTCACGTTTAAGTTAAGGTTTCATATTTCATATAGGGGTCTCATATTTCATATAGGATACAGTGTGTTCTAATCTGAAATTCTGATTTCTAATAATTCTTCTCTGATTCGTTTCTTCCCTTCACTTTATTATAGGGAAATTCATCAAATTAGCCATAATTATTAGAGGGAAATTCATCAAATTACCCATAAGAGATTAACAATTTAACACTTCACATATATCTTTGATTTAATTGCAAAATACCCATAAAAAAGACATGGTTTTAAGTTGGAATAGTAGCAACTAGGTAAAATGTTGAATAGTTCATCGCTTATGGGTATTTTGACAGGCTACCCTTTATTATATTATTGAATCGAATATAATATTTCATGTTATACAAATGCCCTATGAGTAATATTATGTCATACGGCTAACATGAATGTGAAATATCACTATGCAATAAAAGAAACACTAATACAATAGATACTTTTTAGGAAAACTTATTTCTACTAATATTTATTTATAATTAAAGTATAATCAATTAAAATCCATGCCAAACATACACATACAAACACAGACAAAAAAAAAATTGGTTGTTTCATTTAATATAGTTAGGAATAGGGCATGGCCTTGAATGGTTTGTTCCTGATTGAGAACAACAAAACGTCCCAATTTTGATTACTACTGCTGAACTACTTGAAAAAACAAATATTATTTATACGATTGTTTCATTATTTATTGATTATTTACTAATAGAATTGTTATTTCATCAATAGAATATTCATATCTCATATATTACAATAGAACAAAATTATAAGAAAATAGAGATTATATAAGAGCCAATTTCTTCAAAAAAAAAAGAAATAATCTATACATGTGTGTATGTGTGTGCGTGCGTGCGCGTGTGTGTCATAGAATAAGAATATAAGACAATAGATATTCATATAAGTCGATTTATTCAAAAAACAAGAATATGTGTGTGTCACGTGTGTGTATGCTGCCCCAATTCTGATTGATGATTCAATTGGACAAGATTTATGTTAGGATGACAAAATTCGGCATCTCCCTCGGTACTGGAAAATGGAGGGGACAGGAACAGCAATCCCCAAAGTACTCCTCCAGGTGATGGTGCCTAAAACATAATGGTTTCCTCAAGAAGTGGAATGCAATAAATTTTACCCAACTATATTGAATTTTTCTTTTCAGAAAACCAACATCTGTTTGTGACAAAGTGTGATTCCTACGATTGATTGCATCAACATAGCTGGATCTAACTTATATTCTAACAGTACATATATTCAGTTGATATATTAGACTCTTTCCTTGCATTTCTATCACTCTTAAAAATGATTACTGTAGTACCTGACAAAAGAAATACTCAACATAAAATGACAGAGAGAAGAAGGGAAAAAAATAATTGAAGAGATATTCCTTGTCAACAATTTCACGAAAATTAAGTAGCTAACATATGACAATTTTCTAGGAACCGCTTGGATGTTTAACTATACCTATTGCTTAAGCAAAAGTAAAGTTGCGAGATTCTTTACCCCCATTGGTTGTGCTCCCAAGGCGGATGCAGAACATGATTCCTGCCCTAGAAGATGGACAAATTGAGAGAGGAAAGAAGCCAGGAGTTGGTCGGCCATCATCCTTCCCAACATGAACAAAACCTCCTTGGAGATCCATCCAGGCATCGCAGATGGTCAGTGTAGCCTTCACTTGGGAATGCAGGACCACCTAGATTTATAACATGGCAGCCAATATCTTCACAAATGCAAATGGCAAATCAAATTTTTGGGAAAATTTTACATAGGCCCCTCAAAAACTATTTGATCTCATAACAATCCCTCCCTTATTTTGCCTATCGCACGCCATTAATTTTTATAATTATGCATCATCCCACCCCTCCTCACATCTCTCCTCTTCCTTCTTTAATTTTAACTCACTAACCTCACTAACTGCCCCAAAAAATTATTTTCAACTCAATAATTCACCTTCCTCATCTTTTCCTTTTTCGAGGAAGAGAAGAGAGGATTGGGAAAAATTTACACATTCTGTTTGGGGGATAGGGGGTAAAGATAACAAAGGATGGGGAGCAAAGTGAGGAGGGGATGATACATAACTTTAGAAATCATTGTCACACAATAGGAATAATGAGAGAGGAGTTATATTGAAATTGTTTTGTTTTTTTTCTTTTAGGGGTTTCAAACGCAAGGGCTGTAAACCCTGAAAATTCAAAGTGAGGAGGGGATGATACATAACTTTAGAAATCATTGTCACACAATAGGAATAATGAGAGAGGAGTTATATTGAAATTGTTTTGTTTTTTTTCTTTTAGGGGTTTCAAACGCAAGGGCTGTAAACCCTGAAAATTCAAAAATTCAAATCCTAATATCAACGATAAACCATGAACTTGTGAGAGCATGTTCCTAATACGTAAAAGCCTAAGGCTCTAAGAGAAGGCATACCAAGCATATGATAATGAGAAAACAATACTAGGTTATGATGAATCTAATAATTCTAATAATGAGAAAACAATACAAGGTTACAATGAATGCAATAATACTCTGAAAGATGTGGCAAAGTTTTACATTGGCTTGACCTACAAAACACAACCCTCCTCCTTTATCGGGGATTGAGACCAGCATGACCGCCTTGGGACTGGCCGTGGCAGAGTTAATGAACACAATAATACTACTACGAATAAAATAAGGAATACCAAAAGGATAAAAAAGATGGAAATTTTAAGATACAATACCTGCAGCAATAAAGTACCATCTTTGCACTTGTCTGATACGCGTGTGCTTACATATAAAGGATAAGTAAAATGTACAGCAACAGTCCTGATCATCAACATCAGTAGAGTTAAAGATTTCCACAAGAGCTTCATACAGACATTAAACCCAAGAGCTTTCACATTAAGATCTCCATTATCATCTTTATCTTGTGCACATCTGAAATGCTTATAAACAGAAAACATTTTTCTTGTTTGCATCTGAAAAACTGCTTATCAATGGAAAAAAGTTGCACCTAAATATGGACAATCAGAAGGATACCTTTCAAATGTCTGATTGTGGGAGACTCCAAATTCAAGTTTCAGGGCAATAGTCCTCATTCCATCAACAATATTTTGTCTTTGTGAAATGACTGATCACAAATCAAGATTTCCATTTAGATATGCATTGGTGACATGAAACAAAATGGAAAAAAACCCATCAAGTAACAGAGAGGAACTCATTACCTGCAGAAGTTCCCATAAGCAATCTATCATCAATAGCACGAACTGGTAACCACAGAACTGATGTCAAATTACTTGCCCAATCTGGCAATTTTAATTTACCATCTATGAGTGGTAACCGTTCGTATCCTCCACCACCAGTAGAAGAATTATCAGTTGAGATATTATTGGAGTTTCTTATCTGGCCGAAGCCCTCAAATGCCTCATTACAACTCTCCATCTCAATCATATGAGACTCCTCGATTTTTAAACCTGGTCCAGTATCTATGTGTAAGATTGCTCCTTTAAGAGAGTAATCAATAGGTCTTACAATCAAGCCAACCCATTGAGCTTCATTCATCAGCAACGCAGACGAAATGGCCGCTGAGAGATCAACTAGAGGCCTTGGCTTGGACACCTGAATATGATTCAGATGATTGGATCGGGTCCATAAGAAAACACAGTACTACAAGGGTAAGTAAAACACAAACCAATGGATTATGGAAAATCATTGTCCACAAGGTTCATCACTTTGAATGCAATGATGGACAGTAATAAACAGATTGGGACCCACCAGACCCCAATCTTGCTCCATCAGAGTCCATCAAATCATCTTATTGGACAGCACTCCTATTATAACACCTACTTGTTTAGTAAACTAATTACAAAGAAGGCATGGTGGAGGACTAAAAACCACAGGGGAAACATTACATATCACAGTCATCAGAGCTGCACATATCTATCATGTATCCTTGATATTGTATCTCGTCCAAGTATAGATAATGTCAGAGTTACTTACTTTCAGGACTGGTCTGATGGGTTTCTCAAAGCTCATAAAATCATCACTATCTGGAGGTCCACCTCTTGAGTAGCTGTGGGACCTGAATCTCAAATTTCCAATCTGTCCTGTTAGAACACCCAGGACATACGATCCTGGACGTTGAGGAGGCAGTGGCAAGGTGACATCATTCCTTCCCGGCTTTAATACGAGAGCACTGGAGCTCTTTATAACCTACAAATCAGAGCAAGAGGACATATATTTCATAGTTTCTTCTTATATCACTAGTCAGAAAAACTGAATAACAACCAAGCGTGATGCCCTTTATGGCTCTACTAACATATAAACCGACACAACAGAAAGCGCCTGATAGAAAGCATACCTTTACACCTTCATCTGCACTGAATGTAGCTATAAGAGTGAGAGTCAGCGATTCAAGAGAAATCTCGTCAGGAAAGCCGCTCCACACCGTTACCGATAGAGTTCCAGGGTCCCCATCACATAACTCCAGTGGTGGTCCAGGATTTCCAGAGAATGTTATTAATGATGACACATCTAAGGGCACTGGATGCTTCATTTCACTATGAGCAAGTCGGACAACTTCTGATTCGAATGCTTGACGTTCTTGGACAAGGAATAAGCCTTTGTCTAAAGACAACAATTTGACACAGGAAGCAAGATATCCAGCATGGTCGTTGAGTATCTTCTGACACTCTGCTAAATTAGGAAGGACTTCTGCTAATAAATTTTGCCATCCCTCTCCAGCATAAAGAGCACAAACTTTTTCATATGACTTTGCAGCGAGATCATAATTTCCATGCCTATAGCAGACTGCTGCGATCTCTCCATCAAGGACAACTCCATGGCGTTTCCACCATGAACGATTGTAATTCTCAGCAGCACCTTTTGTCAAATCCAGATACTTTAGCTGCAATGATCAAAATGAGATTAGACATAAGCTCCAATCAATACACACATTAGAAATAACAATTACAACAAATGCACTTAGTATATAGGAAACAAATGAAACATATATACAATTAAAAAAAAGATTTAAATGTACAATGTATTAAGATAATAAATAACAACAATGGATAGGCTACAGAATTTCGCAAGCAAATGGAGATTATAGTCACAGAAAACACCGCATGACATCACACTCATTTTGGGCTGCCAGGCTACAAATAGACCTATATTAGTTCATTATTTCGTTCCATTACCAATCCAGACAACAGGGGCAGAGTAACTTCATAATATTGTATATGACAAGATCAAAGTAAGAAGAAATTTCAACACACAGATAGATGACTGGCTGTTGTATATTTTTCTACCCTCTGCAGGTGCACCTCAAACTAGAAAGCGTTCTCAATACATTACTAATCATTCGGCAAACTTAGTTAACTTCCCCCAATTGCCTTTTTCCTCAAAAAGATCTCTAAGGTTTGCTAACAGATAATTTCCCCAGGCTGATGGAGTTTAACTCAACTTTTAACAGGAAACTCGACAAATATTGCTCACTGTGGTGGTTACAGTGAATCCATGTTCTTAAATCATTCATATAGACATCCACAGACTTATGACTGAATGCAGAAACATCAGTCTCATGAAACATATTTCCAAGGTTGAATAGTGTACAAAATCAAATAGACTGGGTCAAAAAGTCATAAAGCCTTTGGAAAGAAGACAAACAGTACAAGACAAAGTGCAAGAAGAAATATTATTCTCATCGGTACCAAAAAGGTTCCGTTTTTTTTTTGGGTTCTAGACGCTAAGACCCACAAATAGATCGACATGTAAAATAATCACCTCAAAATCATGAACAGATGATAAGGCTTTCAGTAGATCAGGATCAGAAATTGTCGCATTTAATGCATGTTCTGCAGCAACATGAACTTCTGAAAGCTTCATTGGACGATCAACAGGTGAACGGATCAAACTAGAATTCTCGAAGTGTACAGGTCCTGAATTAGTTCGAGACATAGAGCTGACAGGGATTTTGTTTGGTGGAGGCGTCATTGGAGAACCATCAGCACCTGGGCTGCCCACATACTCAGTGTATAAGGACAAGAAAGAAATAGGAAAAATCAACAATATCCATAATACCTGTGCATAAATTACCCACACACAAAAAGGAAAAATAATTGCACATGAGTAACATGCAAACAACCAAATTGAACTTTATTTCGAAGACAATACTTTATTTAAACTACTTTCTCATTACCCATCCTTGGGAGTCAGGTTATGTTGACCATCGAATAGTTCAAAAATGTTTCCTGCAGAAAGAGAAGCCCTACGCCGGTTTGCCTCTCGAAGAAGTGAGGATGGCTCAAGAGGTAGAGGTTTTCTCTGAATACCAAAATGCTTGGCTTTGGGGCTTGATTGAAGCAGCTGAAAAGTTAAACACAGATCAAATCCCAAAATATGTCACTAATATAGACATTAAAGTAGGACTAAATATCATATGAACATCATAGCATGCTAAAACTAGACATTTTTTCAAGCTGCATATTATAAATACTATATCCACAATGATGCACTGCTGCCACATGGGCCAAATACCACTCGGTCAACTTTTAAAAGCAAAAGCACAAGATAATTCTATATCCTCAAAAGCATTTGCAACACCTGATTAATATATGCTGTGAAAGTTCTTTTTTAAGTAATTATAAAGCATTTCATTCATTGTAATGAGTACATCTGCTTTCCATTTGCTTGGGTACATTACATCTGTGTGTTAATATCATATACATGAGGTACAGCCATCAGGGTATTAGGAGGTATAAGCCAATACAATTAGTACAAACTTTACTGGAGTGGGCTGCAGTATAATAGGATTCTCAACATATTCTTTAGAAGCCCCAACGTGTTGTAGCTAGACAAGAAATTATTCTTTACACGATTTCGGATGGCAATATCTGAAGAGAGAGAGAGAGAGAGTGTGTGTGCGTGTGAATTTCAACAGTTATGTCAGTTGTCCAAGGCAACTGATGTTCATGGGAGTTTTGGCTGTAGAGCGAACGACTTCTTGTAAAAGAGAAATATGATGGCTCAAAGCAGCATACCAGAAACTAGATATCATGGATTCTGAAAATATTTAATTTCACTTAAAAAACCAACCCCTCTATCAACCTTTGTGTTTCTGTGTTTCTAACAACGGTAACCGTGTCGGATTGTGACATGCATATCCAAGTCAAAGTTTTTATGACACAGCTCTACAGAAAAAAAAAAAAACAACTTTCCTATACAATTCATCCCCCCAATCACCCCCATCTGGAAAGAGGGGTCAATTCCCAACCTGTGAACTGTAATCTGAGGATCAAGACCAGGCATCTCTTCATAATGCCAAGCAAAGACATCTCGATTGGCTCGTCCAGATCTCCCTTGTTAGGGCTTTCTCTATGGAAGTCGACCTTGTTATGGATATTTGTGGCTTTGTCAAGCTTATTTGCTCGATTTTCAGTAACATTTTGGTGAAGCAAATGGGTACAACCCCAATCTCTAAAGCCCCTTACCAAATGGCACTTGTGGAACTTAAGGAACTTTAACAGCAATTACAAGAATTATTGGATAAAGGTTTTATCAGACCTACTGTGTCACCTTGGTATTATATGTTAAAAAGAAAGATGGGTCCATGAGGCTTCTTCTTCATTCTTCAACTTAAGTTCAAAACCATTTCTTTCATTCTCTATTGATTCATTTCATTTTTTGAATTTTTGTAGTTCCATTTTATTTGTTAACCTGTTTATTTGAATATAAGCTCTCCATCTGATCAAATGAGAGGAGGTTTCCAATGCTTCAAAAGAGGGAGAAGATTTTGGTGAGCCGCTGAATATGCGCTAGCAAAAAGAGACATCAACAAAAGAGTCATCCCGTAACTTTTGCCTTTCAAATATTTTGGTGAGCCACCGAATAGGAGCTAGCAAAACGAGACCTCAACAAAAATATAAAAGAAAATATCATACATGCTATAGTACACCCAGAGTCACACTATGCTCACGCAAAATATTATTTCACAGACTCGAAGCACTCTCAAGAATCAGTGCTACCTACAAAAGTGGTCACCAGCCCGAGTATGAGAGAAACTGCTCATGGGAGGGTCACTAAATAGAGAGATGGAAAATTTAATGAGTTTGATAATTAGCTCATGAGGGGGAGGATATTTTGAAGTGAGGGAGGGCACTCTTCCACTTAACACATGTCAAGGTATGTGTCCTCCTTTTTATTTGTTAATTTCTCACTTTTATGACACATCACCTCATATTACTATCTTATAATGCCACATCACCTCGCCACTATGAAAAAGTAAGTAGCAAACTTTTCCTTTAATTATTGGAAAATTGTTTCATGCAGGCTGGACCGCATTTCTACGATATGCGGTCCCAAGTATAAAGCATCTATGTTAAAGATGGATGCAAACAGTTGGTCCATCTAAAAACAATTAAAAATAACGGTCCAAATGTTTTCCTCATAAAATCATTATTTTTATTTCTTGAAATTTATTTATTTATTTTATTCTTGACCTTGAGTTTCAGGAATGATTAGCTATTGCTAGCAATGTTTTAAAAAACGGTCTGCCCGGCGCCTAGGCGGCCTAAACCAAAATATCGCATGCTCAGACCCAGGCGGCCGTACATGCGTGGATGTACCTCGGCGCTCTGCTTCGCACTCAAGAAATTTAAATATGGGTGTGGTTGTATAAAGACGAGACTCTAAACAATCAAATTAGAGCCCTTAGGCCCGGCACCTAGGGTCGGCGCCAATTCAGATAGTAGATTTGCGCAATCAACGCAATCTTTCTCGGTTCTTCAAGTGGCAGTCCCAATGCCTCATGTGAGATGGAATCCGAACCCACAAACGGGGCAAAGGCCCGAATCTAGAACGAAGACCCGACTAAACTAGTTGGGTCTAAGCCACTCATTGTTAAAAAGCTTAAATTCGCCCTTCCCAAATTCGTGAGGAGTTTATTATGCGAGGGCACTTCTCAAGCTTTTGAAGGGGCATAAAATGCTGGAGAGCTTTTATATATTTTTTTTTGGGGGAGAAACAAGAATGACGATTAGAAACTGTTTTTTTTTTTTGAAACTGACAATTAGAACCTTAAACTGTCATTTTTTTAGAATAATGACAACTACAATAAATGAGAGAATCTTGAACTCAAATTTGATAGTAGCATTCGAAAGAATCTAGGACAACTAGATTTTGAAGGTTTAACTAGAGACGGACTTTGGAAAATTCTTAAGACCATAAAGGTCAAGCAGCCACCTAGAGACAAAACTCAAGATTATCTCCACTTTTTTAATTTGACAACTACTGTAAAGAAAAATAAGGAAAGCACAAAGACCAACTATCCTTTGGGCCATGAATTAATAAATGTAGAAATCTCAAATCCTGCTTCCACAAATTATTAAAGTGCTTACATAACGAAAAAGTAAGGAAAGTTCAAACTAACTAAGAACAAGAGATGTCATAATAACCACTTCCTCCAAAATGGAGTCCACCAAAATAGTAAATGATTCCTTTGTTAACCGCTAATGTACAAGTTATGGCTTCATTTGGAAGGCATCAGGCCCTATCCTCTAACTCTATATTGATAATACATCATTGCAAATAGTAAAATAGAAAATGATAGACCTAGGTCATTTGTTTTCTATTCCAAAATAAAACTTGCTAACAGTGTTTTATTGTATAACACACAGTTACATAATGGCCCATTAATCACCAATACAAACTCATGAGATTTGATTTTTCCAGTGTAAGAGCCCCTTCTCAAATGCACTGAAACCGAACTCATGATATTTGATTTTTACAGTGCAAGAACCCCTTCTCAAACGCTCGAGAGTTATATTTGCATATTTACTAAAAAATGAATTTTGTTGCTAACTACCATCCATTAAAGCCATGGTCTCTACAAACAGCAGTTCATATACTACTTTTCCTTTGAAGTAGTTTTGGACTGCTTCAAATGCACAAAGTTGATTCCTTAAGGTCCTTCCATGTCACTAAATTATTCAATCCAGTTCCCCTAGTTGTATAATGTACCTATAAATTATCATGGACTGAGTACAGATTTTCAAGGGCACAAAGACAGTCCCCTTTCACAAAGTGGATCTCATCCATACAGTACAGCCAGGCCACCATTTCTGTGTTAAAATAAGAATTCAATAGATGTAAAGTAATAAAGGGTTGAGCATAATAAGATGAAAGACTGACAGCCCCAAGAGTTAACCACAAGAATATACTTGCCTTTTCTTTTGCAGCCACCCTTGTTGAAGCATCAGGAGGAACTGAAGGCCAGACTGCTGGTCTTGGCCATGAAAGCATGCTCAAAGCAGCACTGCTCAAACCAGGGTGCATTTAGCAAGTGTAAATGGTATAATAGCCATAAAGTGAAAATGGTCCAAAAAGAAAATGACAAGCAAACTATACATTCATCGAAATTAATAATACTGACTATAAGATAATAAGAACAGAGAGGGTAGACAACGAGGTGAAATAATTTCAAAAGTAAGTACCCATTCTCTTTATTCAGAAGAAACATACCTGTTGGCAGGACTTTTCTCAATGTCCATTCCATATCCTATTAGGTATGCAAGCCGCATGAACTGCAATACACAGACATATAAATCACTTTAGAACAGCACCACTTGTCGAAGGCAGCATAATAATTTCCCCAAAAAAAGGAAACAATGGCAACAATAGCAATGCCCAACAGAAAAACGGTCAAATTCTAGATAGTTTTAAAAAGAGAAGAGGGGGGGTGACTCAAAGCAGCTAGACCAAAAGCCATTCATGAAATACACAAGTAGGAGGCAAAGCATGTAACAACGAAGTAGCAAGCTCAGAAGGAGCTATGATATATGGAGATATTCACACCGGTATTCAAGCTTACAGGACACAGCAAAGGGAGCAGAGGCATGAACAAGACACTTGAATACCAGGATTGCACAAAGCACAGGACCGCTAGGTGTATAACTAATTTGAAGACATACAATCAGGAACAAAAACTTCCAAAAAACACTGAGTAGCGCAGATACACTTGAAATTAAGAATGAATTTGCAATATGTGCTCATACATGAACTAAAATATTTAGGTGCTATACTAAACCATCCATCTTCATTCGCATTTAACTTGCACAATTCATAAAATTCTCTATTCTCATATAGAAAATACCTTCCTATGACCAACAATACCAAATATATTGAAATTGTTGGACCTTTATTTGGCTATTCTTTGAAATATATTCCCAGGTTACATGTACTCGTCAAGACTTCAAGCTCCAATATACGACTAATGCACCATATGCAATAGAATTAGAAAACATAAGCTAGAGCTACACAAACACATAATCAATAATCTCAAGAAAAAGTAAAATCTTATTTCAGTAAATCCTAAAAAATAAATTTTAAAACTAAAAATCCTAAAAATAAATTTACTTAAATTGTATTTTTTATTTACTATTTATGGTACTGTTCACAGTTATTGTTCATGCATTACTATTCACAGTTATTGTTCATGCATTACTATTCACAGTTATTGTTCACGTGTTACTATTCACAAGGGGGTATTTTTGAAATTTTAGTATTGTTTTAGAGGTATTTTAGAGTCTTAAATGTTCACTTGGATCTCAAGTTAAATTAGGGTTTCATAAGCTCATAAAAGGTTGGATATCATATTTTAGGAGGCATATGTTATTGGAATAAATTTTATTTTATGAAAGAATAAAGTTTTCTTCTCTTGGCAGCAGCCATATTATTTCTCCATTATTGATGATTTTACTTGTTTAAGGTTCAGAAAAATGGTAGATTCAATTTCCCACCATTCCTTCCTACATCAAATGGAATCAGAGCTTGATTCGAGGATGGTTGGAGATTGTAATGGCTTGTCGTGGAGGTCTTAGCTATAGGGATGTCGATCTGATCCAACTGCACAAGGAAATCAACAACTTGACAGAGCACGTTACAGAGCTATTGTTGCGCAAGCAAGGCCAATAACAGTGTGCCCTAAACAAAGTGGAATCTATTGGGATAGATCCAAATCGTGAGGGTTTTTATTAAGAATGGCACGAATCAGAGTCCGACTAAGAGTTGGAGTGGAATGATGAAGCTACCTTCGACCACCTGTTCTATGCACGCACTCCATGTTGGAAGCCTCATGTTCGGGAGAATAGATCATGGGAGAATAGATCTACACGATTTGAAGGAGAATGATGTTGATTTTGGCATAGGTCGTATCAAAAATCAGCAAGTTGTATATTGGTATTTGCCACCAATTTTCGATACATACTTAGATGTGAACAAGATTTTGTAAGAGATCCAATCTATGATGATGATCAAGATTTCATGGTTTAACGAAGAAACAGATGAAGATCTTAAGGATATCAAAGAAGTGGAACATTTAGAAGATTTAGAACATTGGAATCGAAGTAGTGTCGTGGAAGCATGGAACTCAAAATCTGCAAATTGTGGCCCTGGTTTCAGAGAGCAATGAGATAGAGGTCGAGAAAGCCTCTAAAGTGCAGAAAATTGGGTTTAAAGTTCCCTAGACAATTTTCAATGGGAGCTCAAGAATAGCTGATTGATTCCTCAATAAGTTACCACAACTAGTATCTGAGAAATTATGTTTACCACAAATAGTATCTGAGCTAACAAAGAAGAAGGTTGAAGAATGTAGTTCTGATGCTGAATTCATCTTAGCACATTTCAAACCTTGAAGACAAGATTTCTCCAACCAGCGGAGAACGATAGAGGGCAAAATTATACTTATTTTTAATTTCTATTCAATTTTAAAGGATGTATATTTTGATTTAATTTTAGGATTTATGTTTAGGATTGTAAGTTTTTTTTTTTTTGAGATTCTAGGGTTTTCTTATATTTTCTTTAAATACTATCGCGTGTGTACTGTTCATAAAGGTATTCTTGAAATTTCAATATTGTTTTAGGGGGTATTTTAGAGTCTTAAATGCTTACCTGGATCTCAAGTTAAATTAGGGTTTCATAGGCTTATAAAAGATTAGATGTCAAATTTTAGGGGCCATATGTTATTGGAATAAATTTTATTTTACAAAACAATAAAGTTGTCTTCTCTTGGCTTGATTTATGGCCATGTTCTTTCTCCATTATTGTTAAATTTACTTGTTTTAAATTTCCCCCACATAAGAGGGAGGGGGAGAAGGGTTTTAAGAGTATTTTAACCCCCCCCCAACAACACATTTTCACATTTTAGAGAGAGAAAACCACTTAAACAAGATTTGGAAATTTTAAGATTGACATTCTTTTTTAGGGTACTTTCGAATTCTTGGGATAGAAATCAATCGCTTGTAAGACTCGAAGACGTGTCAAATGATATATTTTCAAAACTAAATCTCACCTGTTAGAGTTAATTTTGTTCAGGTCTTGAAAGGTTGGTTTTGATTTGATCTTGGGTTTCGAGTTGCTGATATTTTCAAGATTGGGTTTTGGATTCTTTTCTTCTTTTTTTAAGATTGGCGCTTGTTAGTGTTCTTTGAAACTAAAGCTCACCGATTTCAGCCAACTTTATTTAATTTTTGAAAGGTTACTCTGTTTTGATTTTGGGGTCTGATTTTGAGGTTCTAGTCTGTTGATATTTTTCAAGATTGGATTTTGGATTTTTTTTTTTTCTTCAAAATTTGTTTTTGTTTATGTGTTTCCTTTATCAAGTTTAGGTTTGAATTTGTTGGAAATTTTGGTATTGGGTTTGTTGACATTTTTTGAGTTTGGGTTTAAGTTTTGTATTTTTCTAGTTTCAAATTTCGATTTTGGACCTTTTAGTTTTTTAACTTTTTTTCTAGTATCAGTTTGGGTTTATTGAGTTCAGTGATTTTTTCCAATATTTGGGTTTTGGTTTTGTGATTTCTATCTGGTTTCGAATTTCAACTTCAGATATTTTGGTTTTTTTTAATTTTTCTAATATAGGTGAGTATTTCTTGATGAAATTTTTCAAGATTGAGTTTTGGTTTACTAACTTTTTTAGATACATGGATTTTAGTTTGTTTACTTCATTCATGTTTGGAGTTTGATTTGGGAATTCGTTCAAATAAACAAGGTGTTCCGGGGTTGGAAATACGCCTCTTTGCCTAATCTAAAAGATAGTGTGAAATGCAAGTTGTGTAACAATATTTATAATGTTGAGGAAGGGGAACCCAAGGTGGGCTAGATTTAGTAGAAGGGATTTAGGCAGGCGAAGCCTCACACAAAGGGACCTATTGATTATTATTGTCCTCCAAATCCTGAGGTTTTGGTAAGATACAAGAAGCGGACTACTATAGAGAATTGCCTCAAGAAAGATAATAGGTGTCATATATCTCAATACATAGCCCGATGGATGTACCTAGCAAGCCTTTCTTTCTGTGCTACCAGGTTGAAGAGCTCATTTGAAGCAACGGGCCAGTTTGGGCTTGGGCAATGGGCCCTTACACCATAGGCAGCCTTTGCCTAAGAAGGAGGTGGAGCTCACGTGTATCTGAAGACCCACAAGGACGCATTGCCAAGGGGGTTAATTGTCCAACAGGGAATATATTTTTGAAATCCATCACCCAAGTATGTCAACTAGTGTATGGAGCAAGTGGGAGAACAGTATGTCGGTTATTGAAGAAGCCATATAGTTTTTGGACACCCTGTGCACTGCACATTGACCTCATGCTTGAGACAATAACTAAGTTGAAAACTGTGTGGACTCAACAAGAAAGAAAACAGAAGCCAAAATGGTTCTCATATACAAGCAACACACATCCTGATCATGGATAGGAAGTTCATAGAGAAGAGGCAGTTCGCTGAGGCGAGGGGTGGCAAGGTTTGTCACCTCTTATTGGTCCCTTCCAAACAGCAAGCTCAGAACCATATTCATCTCCAAATAATGGACCAAGAGCAAATGGTCCAAGCACACAAAGGGGATGGGAGTATCTGATATTATTTTACAACATCAGTTTTCGAATGGTGTGGTCCACTACCTCAAAGCATTTGATCCATTGGTGGTGGTCTTGCGCGTGGAGGATAGCGAGAAGGAACCTTTCAATTGTCAAATTTACAAGGCAATTTGGAAGTTACCAAGGAAAAGATATCAAAGAAATATGGGTATGATGAGAGAGAGTATTCACCTATTTTGAAGATCATAGATGATAGGTGGAACAGCCAGCTGCATAGGCCCTAGCATGCAGCAAGGTAATTTCTTGACCCCGTTTATTTCTATATTGACTATGATATTATAATATGTGAAAATCAACCCCAAAGTGGAACTCCAGACTTAATAACAATGAATGTGAATACATAGAAGATCGCAGTGGAGTCACATAAGACAAAGATAGCATATACAAAGAACTAAAATCCCTCAGGCCATCTTTTGTTGGCCCTGGCTTGAAAGAGAGCTAGCAAGAGCGCTTTCATATCAACCTCACTATAGTGAGACATATGGATTGATTTAGTAAGTGGTTAGTTGATGCTGGAGATGATTAAATTTGAGCTGGGCAGTGTTCATAAGGCACCTGGAAGCTCATCGAGCCCTTTGACAGCCACCAGATAGAAGAGCTTGAGGGCAATAGAGCAAGAGAAGGAGGATAACTCTAAGAAAATAGAGAAGAAGAGCAAT